AAATACCAAGAATAAAATAATTTCAACAAAATAATCCTCTCAGATTGACTGGCACAATTAGAACATTAGTAAGCCATAAGGGCTAAATTGACAGCTGCTATGCTCATGATTTTGTTCTAACTTCCCCTGCCTGACTGGTGCTACTACCGCTCGAGGCTGGTTGGTGAGAGTTTATGGAGGTCAAGTATGCCAGTCCGTTATCAGCTTTTGACAACGGTGCACTGTGTTCTGTCTGAAGTGATATTTGTGACTAGTTGCACAGCTCAACACTATTTTTTAATTCTGCCTGCTTAATAGCCTATCGTGTCAAAGAAAACAAAGAGAACGCTGAAGGAAGAAAACAGATTTTTTAATGAGAATTGGGAATTGCAATATTATCATGTTTTTGCTAAAGATAAGGTGGTTTGCTTGCTTTGTGATACTGTAATATCAACATTAAAGAAATTCAGTGCTCATCAGCATTATAACACTCATAAGGACCACTAATATTTTAAATTAGAGGGAGAGGCACGAAAGGTTTTATTGCAGAAATTAAAAGATGAAAGCAAAAGCAAGGACGATTATTTCAAGCAGCAATAAGACCTGGAAATAATGCCACTGAAGCAATTTATAAAGTAGCTTCTATACTCAGGAAAAAAGGGAAGCTGTTCAGTAACGTAGAAATTGTGAAAGAATGCATTATCCAAGTTGTAGGATGTTTAGAACCCAATAACATTTCGAAGTACAGACAACTGCCTCTTTCAAAGAGAACCATAACTGTTCAACTTAACAGAACAACTTCATGAAGTACTTAAAAGGAAAATATATGTTATTCAGTTGCTTTGGATGAATCCGCTGATACTATTGACTCAGTGCAGGTTTTATACTTCATTCAGGTCATAACAGAATTTCTTTGCTATGAAGAGTTACTTGCTTTGGGCACTCTTGTGAACAGAACACAGGGAATATAGATAATCTTCAACAACTTTCAAGAGAAATGTGAAGTTGGTAAACTTAGTTAGTGTATGTACAGATGGTGCACCTTCCATGACAGGAAAACATGAAGGGTTTATTGCATAGATTAAAAAACAAAAGTATTAACAGATCCAGATGTTCTCATTTCTTTTCATTGTCTCTTGCATCAGCAAAATCTCTATGCTAAAGCTATTTTAAGTGACATTTTGCAACAAATTATAAGTATTGTTAACTATGTGCAAATGTAACACAGCATCATCAGTTTTC